TCCCTGTAGTCTTCCACCGCCAAGCCCTCTTGGTGCTCAATGCTGTCACCACTGGACACCTGTACACATGCTGCCTGGGTACAGAAAAGATGAAGAGGGAGAATGATACCACGCATGTCACACACACACACACACACACACTCACACCCGCCTTGATGCAGTTCCTCTCAACATAAGCATCTGAGAAAGGGCAAAGATGTTCCGAGCTCGGCTGGCAAGTTTCTCTCACTGCAGTTGTGGGAAAGTCTCGCTCGCCTTCCCACCCCACTCTCTGGGCTCTCAACCTCCACAGAGCCCAGGCCTCCACCCTTCTGTCCCGACTCCTATCTCGGAAACACTTCCCAACCCCTTTAAAAAGACACTATTCTCCCCCAGCTCTGCTGGAGTCTGGCCAGGAGTCCCATCCCAAGAAAATGGGAACCACGTGGAGTGTTAACTGGCCGGGTGGGAACGCCCTTGCCTTCCACGAAAGCTCTCTTGCCAAGGTAGCTTGTTCTTAACTCTTTTCTTAACGATTAGGTTACTTTTAGAAATTAGAGGCCTCCTTTATAGCAAGAAACTTAATCTTAAACCACTCTTGACACTCACTGGGTGGGGACAATTTTCACCTGTTCGTGTGTCTTGCCCATCTGGCTTAAACTAACAGTAAGGGAAACCTGTGTATACAGACACAGAGAAATCAACCGCAAAGTGACTGGGAAACTCTCCCTGCTGGCCAGCTTATATAGTGCCAGAAGGAGGAACGCAAGCTGCTTCTTGGGAAAAGAGCTCAGTGGTCTTATCCAGGGTTGGATCCCGCATGTTACAGTACTAACCCTGCCTGACAAAATATGGCTACCGGTCTGACAGCGGCAGGACAGTTACAGGGGTAGCCAACTGCTTTCTGGTATTGGCTATGCTACCTGCTTCACAGCAGGAATGCCATACCTGGTAAGCCTGGTCAGTCTGGCTAAGCTGAGAGCAAGGGGTGCCTATGGACAGTCAGAATGATACCTCATAGATTCCTACCCACAAGGACAAGCTGCAACACTGATAACTGCTACTGACTGGCTGGCAAGTTGGCTGGGTCGGGTTCCCCATCCTCCCTAAGCCCTCCGCTTCCAAGGCTGGGAGTACTACCAAAAGATAGCACAGGCCTTGGGCCAGAGTTCATCTGCTTTGTTCCAGCCCATGGTCTCATAATCAGCTCTAATGAACTCAGTTGTTTTCCAAGTTGGCAGCTAATAAAAAGGAACTTTTTTTTTTGCTCTTTTTTGTTGGTATATGTATGTGTTGTATGCCTTTGGGTGTGTGTGTGTGTGTGTGTGTGTGTGTGTGTGTGTGTGTGCGCGTGTGTGTAGGCCAGAGGCTGGCATTGCGTATCTTCTACAATCGTTCTCCACCTTATTTTTTGAGACAGGGTCTCTCAATGAACCCAGAGCTCCCCAGTTGGCAAGAATGGCTACCTAGCAAGCTCCTGGGATCTGCCTGTATTCCCCTCCACAGTGCGGAAAATCAGTTTTAACAATTACGTGGGGGCTGGAAGTCTTAATTTAGGTCTCTGTGTTTGCAAAGTGGACACTTTACCAACTGAACCATCCCCAGGTCCTTTTTGTTTGCTTTCTGAGAGAAGGTTTTAGTGTGAGGCCCAGGCAGTCATCAAGTCTCACGGATGCTCCTGCGTTAGCCTGCCTGGTCCTGGGATCACAGTGTGTGCCATTAAGTCTAGCCAGAAGGAGCACAGCCTACAGAGGAAAGGCACTTTCCTCGGTAGGTAAGTGTTTGTCGAGTCCCTAAGAAGAGCAAGCATCAAGAGATGAGGCAGTGGCCAGTGCACGGTGACTCTATTCTCCTTAGCTCACGCACGAGAGAGAGCAGACAGCAGACAAATAAAATCCTGATGTGAGAGTTGCTCATGAGTACATAAACAGAGCTGAGGACTCCATGACTTCTCGGCATTATGAAAAGCAATGACCTTTTCTAGTTTTGTAGACATAGATAATAACAAAAAAATTCATATGGCTTACCCCAAATAGACTGAGCAGGTTATTTTTAATATATTTATTATTGCACGTGTGTGCAAGAACTGTGTGTATGAGTGCAGGTCTGGGCATGTCACAACCGGTATATGGCAGTCAGAGGTCAGTTCAGTGGACATGGTTCTCCCACCACCTTTATACAGGTTCTGGGGGTTGGAGTCAGGTTGTTAGGATTGCATGGTATGTGCTCTCCCGCCTGGGAAGCTTGTTTTTAACCATGAAATTCCAAGGACTGAGAAGCCTCAGTCAGGAAAGTGCTTGCCACACAAGCATGGGAACCCTGAGTTCAATTTCCATAAGCCATACAAAACACACAGGCATGGTGGCATGTGCTTATAATCCCTGTGCTGGAGAGAGAGAACAGAAGGACCCCTGGGGCTCGCCGGCCCAGCCAGTCTAGCCTACTTGGTGAGTTCCAGGACAAGGAGAGACACTGTCTCAAAAACCAAATGGAAGGCATTAAGGAATTCCAGCCCAAGATTTTCTATGGCCTCCAAATGCCATCCCAGCTCCCTGGGGTAGAAGCACTGAGGGCAGGCAGGCCTGTAGGTGACACTTAGAGACACTGAGCAGCAAGACAAGGACCACACAGTATGCTGAGAAGGATGCCCTGGGTGACCCTGAAACAGGGCCTAGGGGACTCCACCACAAGGAGAGGTGCTCTTCCTTCTCCTCTGGCTCAAGATGACTTGGCACCCACAACCCTTCAGCACGCTGTCGCCCGCTTGAAACAGTTTTTGTACCCTCATCTGGAACCACTACATGGAATTAAGAAAGTGAATCATATTCCTAACAAGCAACCAACAAATCAGTCTTCAACTACATGCAGACTAGCAAGATAACGGCACCTCCACTGATCTCCTGTCTGAGTCCTTTCAAAGCTCCATGGTGCCCACTGATCTTTCAAAAGTGACAAGGAAAATTACAGCAAAGAATACAAGTCTACTATAACTATTCATCTGAGTCTTGAGGGGGTGGGGTCCCCTAAATCGCCACTATGGAAGAAATCCACATTCTTTATACTTCACAGGCAAGTATTTCTTTCTCCAATTTTAACGCCAAAATTTTTTGTTACTTTTGCTTTCTGAGTAAAGTGGTTCACAAAACCTGTATGTGTTCCCTGAGATTAAATTTCTCCTTCCCAAAACATTCCACAAACCCTGGCTGATGATGTAGGTGACATCTGAAAGCTTGGGCTTAAGTTTTCTATTTTGCAGGACTGGGAATCCAACCCAGGACCTCAAATCCACTAGGCAGACACTATCCAGCACTAAGCAAGAGCCCAGCCCTCCCTTTGTAAAGGACTACAGCTATGATGGGGCAGAGGGTAGAAAGGGTGGCAATCTGTGGTCCAGACCTCTGGCCACACATTAGCAAGTGAAGGACAATCTCCCTTCTGTGATGACCTCTAGGGAATTTTCTCTTCCACCTTGGCATCCAGTGCCAGAAAATTCCCCCTTTGGCGCCCTTTGCCTCCTCTCCTCACGCTCCCATGGAGCTTAGCTTCCCATGACAACCTCCCATACGACACCTGTGCACTGCATCATCTCTGCTGGAAATCCTGATGGCTTCCATCTCCATCAGAATGATCGCCTGCATCCCCAGAATGACCAACCTCATCTAGCCAGCCGACCTCTGTCTGAGTTCTCCAGCCTCATTCCCACATTTTCCTTTTCTTAATAAGCTAGCTCTATTTCTACGTCTAACCGGGTGCCTCTGGTACAGTCCTCTGTCCTGAGACACATATGCTTGGAACCGAATGCCCTCTGAACTCAGTGTCCCGCTGGGCACTCCTATGCATGTTCTTCCTGGAGTTCTGGGCTTTCTCACTGTTTCCTCCAAGCCTAGCTTAAAAGGCATGGCTTTTCCTCCATCTCCTTTTCTCCTAGTGGCTGTCAGTTTTCAGCTTGTCTGCGGTTTTTGTTTTTAATCTCAAACTTCAATGAAATTGTCCTCAAGCTTCCTTCTGAGTCAGTTTTATTTTGTTAATGAGGCTAAAACTCAAAGGGAACCTTAATTTCCACAGTAACCCATTGCTCACTCCTGCTCTCTGCTAGAATGCTCTTTCTCTCACTTGCAGGGCTCAAACAGCATCTTCTCTCCATCCCCACCCCCACCCCCACCCCCACCCCCACACACCAGTTAAAACTTCCAATTATTCTTCTTCTTCTTTTTTTTTTTTTTTTTTTTGGTTTTTCGAGACAGGGTTTCTCTGCATAGCTTTGGTGCCTGTCCTGGATCTCGCTCTGTAGCCCAGGCTGGCCTCGAACTCACAGAGATCCGCCTAGCTCTGCCTCCCAAGTGCTGGGATTAAAGGCGTGCGCCACCACCGCCCTGTTTCCAATTCTTTCTAAAAAGTCTGTAATTGACTATGCCAACTATTAACCCACTCACTCTAAGACGCTCTAAGGTTGCAGAGGATTCATCTGTCCACCGCTGCGTGCTCAAGGTCTAGAAGCCTGCACTCATCAGGCAAGTGTTTAGAAAACGTTTGAGAAGAAAAGTTATTCACCTAACCAAGACTTGTTGGGCACCTCTTCCCGGGCAAAAGTTATCACACTGCTTCCACCTTTATAGGGCACTGGTGGAACACTGGACCGCGTTAAGGATGCAGGACTGAAAACTATGGACAATGTGCACAGGTCAAAGAATGTGCCAACAGTTCACAGGAAAAGGCTTGGGCATGGGCTTGGCCCGACGGGTCACCGACGCGCAGGGCACCAAAGATTCTTCCCTCGAGCCCCAAAAAAGGGATCGCGACACCCCATTTTTCAGGATGAGAAGTTACTAGACCAGAGATGCAACTTCCGGCCTCATCCCAACCGGCAGGATATTTAAAGGGAAAGAATCATACTGATTTCTATTCTCCTGCAGCAGCACCCCATTCCACGCGACCTCAGTTCCTGCCCAGCTCCGGTCCAAGCGCCCTCACCCCGAGTGCCGCCCTCCACCCCCCAAAAAAATTCCCGTAGTGCGTCCCACCTGCTCCCGGCGTGCCCCGCGGCTCCTCCCCGCGCGTGCGCAATAAATGCCCTCTTGGGTCCGGGAGGGGCTGGAGCTCCGGCCTGAGCTGGACACGCCCCCGAGAGCAAATTGGACTTCTGATTGGCTGCAGGCGCTCGCCCGAGCTCGGTTGGAACGCAGGGGCAGTCTTTTAAAGGCGCTACCCTGTGCACTCTGGAACTTGAGTGCTGCTTGCCTGCTCTTGCTCCCGCGCTTTCGGGATCCAGATCACCTCGCCAATATGTCTCAGGTACTGCGCGTGCCCTGCCGGGCTGCGAAGGTGCAGGGGAGTTGGGGGAAATCAGTCAGCAGGAACCCCGCGGGGTGTCCCCTCCCCGGATACTAGGCATCTGCTCTGGGATCCGAGCCCAGCTCATAGCCTGGGGAGCGGAACTTTTTCCCTTGCAGATTTCTGAAACTGCCGCCCACGCCGGAACTGCTGGAGAGTGGCGGGTGGGCTGGACTTCTGAAGCAGGCACAGGGTCCTCGAAAGAAAGATGGGGCAATAAGGGAATGTAGGGCAGAGAAGATTGAATCCCATACTGGGAAGGACCAGAATGGAACAGAGGGCTCCTGGCTGGGGAGCCTGGAGGTCGAGGGAAGTAACTAGTCTTCTGCCTGGCATGCCCCTGTACAGGAGAGATGCGACTAGGCGAGGTGGCCCAGAAGCCTTTCCATTCCCTCCAGTGGAGACCCCTGTCCCGGACCGAGCCCTGTAGGGCGATCCCTGGCTCCTCCCACTTGCCTCTCCCTAATCTGGGCACTGGGACAGAGGTCAACGCTGAACTCCAGGCCCCATAGGAAGGGACCAGTGGGCTCCTGACCCTGGATTCCACTGCGTTCGTGTCCTGAACCCTGATCGACTGTTGTGATCACGCCACTTTTCCCCTCACTGCCTTGCCAATCTCCGCTGATCATAGGTCGAGGCTTTGCTGGAACCCCAGCAATTGCTGGATTTGGGCCAGCGGTGGTCAGGCAGTTGGGCAAGAAATTTTTCAAGGGCGTGTACTCCCACTGTGAGCCAAGTCTATTCCCAACACTTGACACAGTGCTGCAGCTGCGTGAGTGGACAGGTGGGCCTTTGCTGAATCTTAGTGAGAGGAGAGCGTTTGGGAAGAGTACTGCTCTCCTGCCTTCCCATCCGTCCCTGGACCTCTCCCACTCAGGCATCCTCCATCCCCGTTCCTCTCCCTCTCACTTAGGCGGAATTTGACAAAGCTGCTGAGGAGGTGAAGCGCCTCAAGACCCAGCCAAGTGACGAAGAGATGCTCTTCATCTACAGCCACTTCAAACAAGCTACCGTGGGCGACGTAAATACAGGTATGGCCAACTTTCTACATCAGAGTAGGCCAAGTTGGCTCGACAGCCCGGGAGTCTGAGAACCTCCCTTTCCAACTGCCTGAGGCCCTAAGGTTCAGGCAGCGTATGGTGACTTAAGCTGGGAGATTTTTCACCTGCAGAGACCATCTTCCTAAATTCTTGGTGTGACCCTGGGAGCAGATTCAATCTGGTGTTAGAAGGACTTTACCGGTTATCTCGGCATCTGCTGTGAAGGAAGCAAAGGCCCCAGAGAGGAAGCTTGTGATAAGGCCTGTTGCTCAGTAGTAGCTTTGTTGAGCCTACTGTTCCCATCAGATGAGCAGGGTCATCGAGCACTTGGCAGCCACCCCAAGCCTAATAGATGAGCAGGGACGCATCTGGTATCCTGGGGGCAAGTTGGAATTGATGCTGGCCAAAGTCTGCACCATCAGATGACTTTTTTCCCTCTCTAAAAATCTTGGTGCAGACTTTTTTGTATGGTCGGAGCATGTGCAAGTGGAGGCCAGGGAAGAGCCTTGAGTATTGTTTCCACCGGCACCATCCGCCTTCGGTGTTTTGCTTTTCATTTTTATTTTTTGAGACAGGATCTCTCCCTGGCTTGGAGCTTGCCAAGTAGTCTAGGTTGGTGGGCCAGCAAGCCTCAGGCTCCAGCACTGGCATTATAAGTACAGGCTGCCATGTGTGCCCCCCCTTCCCCCTCCCCCCCTCCCCGCATGAGTTCTGAGAATAGAACTCAGGTCCTTCTACTTACAAGGTAAGTACTTTATTGGCTGACCCATCTCTCTAGCCCCTTGGTACAGATTTTGAAGCTGAGCTGTGGATTACCTTGGTCTTTATTGTCTTTTCTGCTGCCCCTCGGGCAGTGGCTGTAGGCTGAGGCACAGTGCGTTCTAGCACAGACTCTTGTCAGCACAGAAGGAAATGTACCCCTCAGCCACCCACCAAGTGCAGCTTCCAATTCCCTGGGAGCTGTTGTGGCAGGCCAAGCAGGTCAGATCAGAGGAAGAAGAAGGAAGTGGGAAGAGAACGGGTAGGCTGGGAGGCTTTGCTGCCAGAGGTACTTGCTGGCATATGAGCATCAGTAGACTGACTTGGAATCTGTCACTTCCTGATCAGGAAACTGTTGTCTGTTTTCCGGCTGTACTGTTCAGTGCAACAAAGACCAGCCACATGTGGCTATCCCTAAGCAATACCAAAAGCTCAGTCTGTCGCTGTGTGCACCGTGTTTCAAGGGCTCAGTAGCCACATGGGGCAAGTGGCTTCTGAATTAAATGTTGCAAGAACCAGTGAAATGGCTAGCAGGTAAAGGCTCTTGCTGCCGTGCCTGACTGCCTAAGGGACCCACTTGGTGAAAGGAAAGAGCGGACTCCCCAAAGTTGTCCTCTGGCATCCACACAGTGGCATGTGCACACGCGCATCCCAGTATACACATCAACTAACTGAATGTTGCAAATATACATTGCCATCTCCGGAGAACAGACTGGCAGGGAGTCTTTCTCTGGGCTTCTGAGGGTTCCTCTGTAGGAACAGTGTCCTGTAAAGTTCCCAGGACTTCTCCCTCAGACTCCATGCCCCAAGCCTTACGCTCTGCAGTAAGAAGGATGGTAGGAGGGCTTCTCCCCCAAACACAGATGCTCTGGAAGAAGCCTGGTCTTCAGTTAAAACAAAACCCTACAAATCAACACAGAGTCCAGCAAAGTGGTGGGAAAATAGAGCTGGGTTATAAAGACAAGTCACAGGCAAGGACATCCACTGGTGACAGTGATGTAACAGAGAGAGAAACCAGGCCCCTGGGGGTGGGGGACCTAATAGTTTTTCTTTTCAGAATTGTCTTTGGGATTTGTTGTTGTTTCAATGTCATGTGCATTGGTGTATACCTTCATGTCTGTCTGTGTGAGGGTGTCAGGTCTCCTGGAACTGGAGTCACAGTTGTGAGCCGCCCTGTGGTTGCTGGGAATTGAACCTGGGTCCTCTGGAAGAGCAGCCAGTGCTCTCTTTAACCGCTGAGCCATCTCTCCAGCCCCATTTTCTTTCAGAGTTTTTGGGTTCTGAACCATGTGAATGGATGTTTGTTTGTTGTTTAACAGGTTTGGTTTGGTTTGAGAATTTTTGGTCTATTTTTCTTTTTTCTCCTCCTCTGTTTTAAGCCAGAGTCTCATGTAGCCCAGGCTGGCCCAAATTCACTATGTAGCAAAAAAAATGACCTTGAAGTTCTGGTCTTCCTGCTTCCACCTTACAGCTGTGGGTCGCCAGGCCTGGTTTATCTGGTGCTGGGGATGAGACCAGGGTTTGGGGCATGCCAGGCAAGCACTCTGCCAACGGAGCCATATCCCTAGCCCTTTTATTATTTAATATTTTGAAACAATCTCACTAAGCCATCCGGTCTGGCTTTAAGCTCTCTCTGTAGGCCAAGCAGGCCTTGAACTTCCGATCCTCCTGCCCTGGCCTCTGGAGTGGCTGGTATCACAAGTGTGCATCACCAGGCCTATCAGTTTTCTTTTATGGTATATTTTATTTTTTCAGACAAGTTCTCATGTAGCCTGGACTGGCCTAAAACTCACAGTGTAGCTGAGATGACCTTGAATTCCTGATCCTCCTGCCTCTACTTCCACCATTCCCTGTTTATACAGCGCTGAAGCATCTACCAGCTAAGCCTCATCCCAGGCCCAAAGACTAGTGTTGTTTTTAAAGTAAAACTTTGGGTTTTAAACATTTAACTTAAAGTACAAAAACAATCTAAGAATACTTTTTTTATCCTGTTTTTCCCCAGTTTTAAATTTGGGTTGCTCCAAAGCCATCTGGGTTTCTTAGGCTAGAACCCTCTGTGGGAGACACTGGGAGTCTGTGCATTCAAAAATGTCTTGGTGCCGGGCGGTGGTGGCACACACCTTTAATCCCAGCACTTGGGAGACAGAGGCGGGTGGATCTCTTGAGTTCAAGGCCAGCCTGGTCTACAGAGTGAGTTCCAGGATATCCAGGGCTGCACAGGGAAACTCTGTATTGGGAGAAAAAAAAAATGGTGTCTTGCTTTTCATGGGGAAAAAGTTGATGAAGTTCTCCATTAAAAGTTGTAATAAATCTGTCTGCCCTTCCTTGTTGCAGATCGGCCCGGGCTTCTGGACCTCAAAGGCAAGGCCAAGTGGGATTCATGGAATAAGCTGAAAGGTAACGTGTTCTGATCAGCTTCCCTTCTTTGTGAGGCTGGGCATTGAAGACTCTCCATTCTGGAGTGGGGAGGACATAGTTCAGGAGGCACACATTGGAAGCCAGCCCAGCCAGCCCTGGCATGGGAAAACTAGGCCACCTCCGTCCCCTCCGAAGGTTGCCGATGTCTCTTCTAAGAGCTCTGTCTCTGGGCAGAGGTGTTATCTGGAGGGAAAGGACTTGGGGATCAGCCACTGAGAAATAGGCCAGGGAGTGACAATGTTGCCGTGGTCTTTGGCTGTAAAGAGAGTAAAGTGAGTTCTCCCACCCACGCCTCCATCTCCGCAACAAGGCCAGGCAGTGACCCCTTAGCCGAGTGGCCATTCCCCAGTTCCCTTTCAGCCAGAAGGGCACATGAGAAAAAGGGATGAGGTAATGCGTGGCCAGTGAATGGAACTATTATTTGTTAAGCACAAGCATCCAAGAAGTGTCCAGGCTCCACTAAATCACGTGCTCCCCTGGCAGCAAGCCCCAAAAGCAGGCACAAAGCTGTTGGCAGCTTTCGTACCCTCGCTAGCCAGTTGCTGAATAAGCCTCTGTCTTCACGAGGGGGAAAGGCATGAACTCAGGAAGGGCCTAGCACACTGGAATGCCCTGCTAGGGGGCCGGGTGGGTCTGGCTGTCCATCTTCCGAGCCATTCTCAGGCCCCGGATACCCTAACACTTTCCAACACGCTTCTTCAGTCCCCAGGACTTCCCAGTACCCCGGGGGGATCTAGGAAACCCAGTGTGGCTGTCCCTCAGGGTGTATTCATGTCTCTTGTGTAGTGAAAAGGAGACAAAGATTGGCCTCATTCCTTTCCAAGGACGAGCTGCTTTCCCTCAGTCTCTACCTCTTCTCCCAGCTTCTCTCTGCGGGGCAGAGGGTGGCTGCCTCGGCTTTGTCACAGCCAGCAGCATAGCCCTGGGAGATAAGAATCCAGAACAGATAGTCCATAGGCTGAAGCCAAACACGAAAACGGCAGCACCGGGAAAATCACTGCGGGGACACTTTCCTGCCTGTCTACACTGCCTGCTGCCTTGGTGCATTGTAAAGTAGAACTCATCCCCTGGAGTGCCGTGTGTCTACTCCTCGGGCCGTCTCTGAGATACAAGAGCTGTGCTGTAAGTGTAAGGACAGCCTCCAGCACTAAACTGGAATCTCAGCCAGTGTGTCCAGCCTGTGGCCCATCACATGTGAGGATCATGACATCGTGTCATAATGTTAAAAGTTTGGCTGTCTGGGGCTGGGGAGATTTCTAGTCGGCAGCTTGCCTTCTGTGCAAGCACAAGGACCTGAGTTCAGGTCCCCAGTGCCTGTATGAAAAAGCCAGGCACAGCAACATGCATCTGTAACCCTAACGCTGGGAGGGAGCCGAGACGGGCAGGTTGACCCTCAGAGCGCACTGGCCAATCCAGGAGTTCCAGGTTCCATGAGGAACCTTGTCTCGTCAAATAAAGTGGAGGGTCTGGTGAGGTGGCTCAGTGGGTCAAGGTGCTTGCCACCAAGCCTGAAAACCTGAGTTTGGTCCCCAGGGATCACGTGATGGGAATCAGTTCCCACAAGTTGCCCTCTAACCTCTACCCATGCTGTAGTAGTATACGCCCTACTCCCCCCCCCCTCACCTTAGTTACTCTTCTATTACTGTCAAGAGACACCATGACCAAGGCAGCTCTGCTTGCTTACAATTGTAGAGGGTTAGTCCGTGACCATCATGGCAGGAAGCGGACAGACATGATGGAGGAGCAGTAGTCAAGAGCTTTACACCCTGATCCACCGGCAGTGGAGAGAGACTGGGCCTGGCATGGGCTTTTGAAACCTAAAAGCCCACCCCCAATGACACACCTCCTCCAGTAACACCACACCTCCTAATCCTTCTCAAACAGTTCCACTAACTGGGGACCAGGCATTCAAATAGATGAGCCTGTGGAGGCCCTTCTCATTCAAACCACCACATCCCCCTTGCAAAATAAATCCATATATTTTTTGGAAGTAGCTAAGGTGGGGCTGGAGAGATGGTTAATTGATTAAGAGCACCTGCTGCTCTTACAGAGGACTTGGATTTGGTTCCCAGAACCCACAAGTGGCTCACAACTGCCTATCACTCCAGTTCCAAGAGATCTAACACCCTCACCTCACTTCTTCAGGCACCTGCATGCATTTGGTGCACATGCATCCATGCAGGCACATAAATAAACAATAGAAGTCTTTTTTTAAGTAAATAGAGAACAGTGGAGAAGACACTTGACATGTAACTCTGACCTCTACATTGCACACATGTGCACATTTGCTGGCAAACACACAGACACATACATATTACATCCACTGTCCAGATACGCACACACAATTTTTTAAAAGCCAAGGCCGGACACACACACACACACACACACACACACACACGCCCCACCCCCGCCAGCTCGATACCTTTCTAGCAGCCTGCCTTCCTGATGTGTATTCCCACCGATCCCTTCCAGGAACTTCCAAGGAGAGCGCCATGAAAAGCTATGTGGAAAAAGTGGAAGAGCTGAAGAAGAAATACGGAATCTAGAAGACCAGACACATGCGTGACCCGTGAGGACATAATGCCTTGGTGTTTTTCTAATGTAGATGATATGGCTCTGATAAATTAGGGCCAGGATTAATTGCTGACCCTCCTCCCTGTGTAGTTTTTACCTGAAGTCAATTAAAAGTACATTTGTTACTGTATGTCTTTCGTTGTCTGGGTTCTTTTATATGTTTTTAATTTTTATTCATCTAACTGTATTTGTTGTGGGGGCGGGGGGGGGGGGGGGCACACATGGATAGGTCAGAGTTGGTTCGCTCTTCCTACCATGTGGGTCCCAGGGATCCGTCTCAGCCTGTCAGGCGTCTTTACCACTGAGCCATCTCACCAGCCCATCCTCCAGGTTCTTGAAATGACCGGCCTTGCTCCATTCTTTCATCTCTGCTTCCTTCTAAAGATGCGCTGTGGAGCTGCGGATTGTCACTCAGTTTGGCAGGGTGCTGCCTAGCCTGCCCAAACCCATGGGTTCAATTCCCCGACGCTGCACAAAAAAATCAGGCATGGTTGTGCACACCTGTAATCCCAGCACTCAGGAGGTAGAGTCGGGCACATCAGGAGTTCAAGGCCATCTCTTGGTGACGGCAAATTTGGAACCAGCCTGGGCTACCTGAGACCCTGGGTCATAAAAATCGAATAAAAGTAAAAATAAATGAAGATGTGTTCCCAGAGCCCCCCTGCCCTGTTTCTCTGTCCCTGGATGGACTGTGAGGGGTGGTCCTACTGTTCCCAGGTGTGTGCAGCCACCTCAGATGAGGTGAGCCGGCTGGCACCTGAGCCTACAGATGTCCTAAGAGCTCCGTCTCGGGAGCCGCCCTCAGGTCTAAGGAAGGCGGGATTGACCACGTTTGAGCTTTGTCTGGATCCAGCCTCTCCCTGGATCCAGAGCAGTTGAGTAAGAGTGGGAGCACCCTTGGGAACAGCATGCTCCCCGCCTGAGGTCTCCCAGGCTTCCTTTCGAAACTGGGCCACAGTGGGGCCAGGAAGGCCGGTCAGCCATGAGTCAAGGGCTTCCTC